CCCCCCCCCCACCCCACCCCACCCCACCCCACAAAACACACACACAAAAAAAGGGGGAGTCATGGTCAATTATGGACTTTGACCATCTTTGTTAAATCTGGAAAATGAAATTAGAACAGTGTAGCTCCAGGACTCCTGAAGAATCAAGGAGAGCTGCAAGAGCTTCTTTCTAATTTGCTACAAGGGTATATGGGTGACTAGGAGCTAGTATCCTCCTAGTACTTCAAAAATTCTTGCATTGAGATCTTGTATTTTCTACTTGGTATTAGGTTGGACTTAGATATTTGGCTGGAGATATATCTGGTGGGAATGCCCGCTGTATTGCTATGCTTCAAGCTCTCCAAGAGTCCATCAAAGACTACTCAACTCCCCCGGAGAAAGTTCTTATAAGAGACTTGACTGCAAAAGTTAATTGTTATGTTTCATTTTTGATCGAGTGCAGGCCCCTCTCAATCAGCATGGGGAATGCTATTAGGTTCCTTAAAACTAGGATTGCGAAATTGCCTTTGACTTTGTCAGAGTCAGAAGCTAAAACCACTCTTGTGACAGATATTGATCACTTCATAAGTGAAAAGATAATACTTGCAGACAAGGTGATAGTCAAGCATGCAGTAACTAAAATAAGGGATGGTGATGTTCTTCTCACTTATGGATCCTCCTCTGCTGTTGAAATGATTCTGTTACATGCTCATGAGCTTGGCAAGGATTTCCGTGTCGTAGTAGTTGACTCACGTCCAAAGCTTGAAGGGAGATTACTACTTCGTCGGTTGGTGGGGAAGGGTGTTAAGTGTACATACACTCATATAAATGCCATTTCTTATATCATGCATGAAGTTACAAGAGTACTTTTGGGTGCTTCATCAGTTTTGTCCAATGGAACTGTTTATTCAAGGGTTGGAACAGCGAGCGTTGCTATGGTTGCTCATTCATTCCGAGTTCCTGTCTTGATATGTTGTGAAGCGTATAAATTTCATGAAAGGGTTCAACTTGACTCGATTTGCTCTAATGAACTTGGTATGGGTCCCAGCCTCACCCGCTGTTCCATTGTTTTTTTTTTATGCTTATAGCTTTCTTCAGGGATGGCAGCCTGTGTCTTACTAGCTCAGTCATGTGTCTGTACAGGTGATCCAGAAACTATAGCTAAGGTTCCTGGTAGGATGGAAATTAACCACTTGGATGGGTGGGCTAACAGTGATAATCTTCAACTTTTGAATCTGATGTAAGTATCATTATGTCAGAGATGATATATTCGGTTTTTGCTAACCAGTCAAGTTCTTATTGCTTACTTCTTATTTTCAACCCTTACAGTTACGATGCAACACCTTCAGATTATGTATCAATGATAATTACAGATTATGGCATGGTAAGTAATCAACGGTTTTGTTTATATCATTTCCTTCCCTATATGGTTGCTGATGTAATTACCTAAACGAGCATCTAGTATAACTTGGAGTTTATCTCAATATATGCAGATCCCTCCGACAAGTGTTCCTGTAATAGTTCGCGAGTATCGCAGAGAATATTTATGGACATGAAAGGAACACAACTAAAATCTGCAAAGATCTGATAGTTTGCCTCAAGAAAAGCAAAGGGACGTGGGTTCTGACTACACTATGCACAAGTTTTTCGTCCCATCCTGCTAAGTGCTACGTGCGTCTCAAAGATATAGATAGGGACATGGGTTCTGACTACCCTTTGCGTAAACATCTGTTAATTTCTCTTTGGTTCATTTTTGTGATAATGATTTTGAGTTATGTGCCTCAGGTTTTGGGTTCTCTATTTTTAGCTGACCCCATGAAGAGTGCGATTTCTCCGCCTCTCAGGGCAATTTTTGGAATGTAATCTCTCGATGGCAACAGATTTGTGAAATTGTGATGTTGATTTTCTTATGAATAACAAATTCGTTAAGTGAGTCACCTTCTTCCTCTCCATCATGTTTCTGTCTGGTGTAGATTTAATTCTTATTTTGTGAGCGAATAACATGGTTTTGTTATTACTCTAGTAGGATGCTTGATCTTTATGTTTCTGATAGAAAATGAGGAACTTGATATACTTGTCCAGTAAATCTTACTAGACAAGGTTCATTTAAAGATGTTCTTCACTTTGAATAATGTCATTTTTGCAATGCTTATGAGAGTAGGGGTTTCAAAAAGAAGAAAATGACTACTTTTCTTGAGGAAATAGAAGCCCTAGAAATTACGATGTGACATTCAATTCCAAACTAGAAAAATGGTGAAATTAGTGTCAAGGATAGGACAGAAGACAATCAGTTGCATCGTAGAAAATGAACTTTAGATTCGTTCTTTGAAAGGCTATCAGACAAAGAAATTAAAAAAAAAAATCATTAGTGGACACAAAACAATCACTATCACATCTTTGTTAATGATGGAATTACTTTGGCTAATACGTTTTAAAATATTCCCCCCCTGATCCGTACGACGATGAGAACAGTGGCGGACCTAGGATTTTCGTTCAGGGGGTTCGAAAAATAAAAGTATAAACATGTAAATAAGCCTTTAGAAATGAGATCCTTGAATTCTTTTGGGTTTAAAAGCACACTTTTAGCACGTTTTTAAAATTTTAAAAAAAACTATAGAAGAACTTGAAAAACAGAACTGAAAATTAAATAAAAAAAAAAAATTGGAACTAAAAAAGAAAAAAAAATAAAACGCTGTCACAGGGAATCGAACTGGGGACGTGATGGTAAATTTCCAGGGGACTTGCCACTGAGCCATCAATTTCTCTTTGTCATTGAGGGGGTTCAAAATATATATATCTTCAAAAATACAGAAAATTTACCTTATATATACAGTGTAATATTTTGCCGAGGGGGTTCGGGTGAACCCCCTGGAACCAACGTGGGTCCGCCCCTGGATGAGAATCCAAAGTAATTCCCGCGAGAGCCTGTACGAGTAAAACAAAAAGATTTTAATATTGCATTAAAAAGTCTGCCGTAATTAGTAAGCAAGTTAATTAATTACTCCATATGCTCGACACGATCTCCTAATAACAAATGGTCATGCTTTTATATTTTGATTTTTGAGCAGATAATTATAAAAATATCATTTTTCTCCCCTTGAATTTCAACATTCCAATTTTATAACAAAGTATAAATTGATAACCGAGTGTAGGGATTGTTTTTATATACTCCATATATATTTGGTTGAGAAAAACAGTGGAATAATAGTCCATACATCACAGTCGCTATTTATATTTTAATATCATAATTTCTACTTCTAGAATATTAAAAGAAAGGATAATAATTTGTTATGACACATTTGAAATTATAAAATTAATTCCAAAATTTTTATAATCATACGAATATGATGACTTATTTTAAAACTCAATGTTAGATCAAATTAAATCACTTGAATGAGTGAAAGTCAATATTTTTCAAGTAAAATTGACCAATAATGGATAATGCAACTGTTTTTCCAGAAAGAAATGAGTTAAAGTCACCAATTCCCAATGCCTCGACACCGTGGCATTCCTAGGCAGCATATTCCCATTAGCACGCCAAATTCTTCTCTATTTATTTATAAATAAAACCCTTGGATCCCTTCCTATTTACTCCTTCACCCACCCCCCTCTAAGCCAACTCATAATAGAACTAATAATACTCCCTCCTTTCATTTTTAAATGTCATCCTTACTATAAATAATTAATTCATAATACTTGTCATTTCATATAATTAATGCCTAAATTACAATATTATACCCTTGATATTTAATTGGCCTTGAAAATAAATATTTGACCAACATAGGAAAACTAAGTAAATAATTTATGTTCATTAGTCAAATTAATTAATTAAAATTAATTAATTCATATTCATTGTTTGAAAACTTGACTCCCAAAAAAATTAATCAAAGGTAAAATAATAAACTTACATAATTTTTTAATACTCATAAAATTTAAAATAATGACATATAAATAGAAACGAAACCAAGCTAAACTCTCAAAAAAAGCAAAACATCACTTTTGATACCTTAGGCCTAAGCCAATTCTTAACGGTGCCCTTAACTATTTATGATTGGAGGGCAATTGCGTCACTACAACGCGAAACACACTTTGGAGCTATCAATTTCCGGAAAAGACCCCTGTTAACGGTTATAAGTACCGGGCGAGGAAGGTCGAAATGGTAAAACCACATAGCCGAATCACTGTCTGGCGTGGGATCAGTACATAAATAGATAAAAAACAAAAGTAGTGAGGTAATTGTGAAAAAGCGAGGGAGCCGGAGGAGCCTCTTGTAAATTGGGAAATTCTCCGGCGAGGGTTTCAAATTCCGGTATCAGATTAACGGTTTTGCTATTTCTTGATTTTCCTATCATTCTTCTTGCCGAAGGTTGCAAATCTGTGATTTCTGAATTTCTTGAGTTCTTGGAATCTTTCAGATGTCTACGCCGCCGAGGAAATCTTGGACCGGGTGGTCGCTGTCACCAAGAACCGAACCTGTTGACAAGGGCAAAGGCATCGCCTTCACGGGTACTGCTCATAAAAGTTTGACGAGCCAAGATTACGGAAATATGGATCAAGAAGCGCTAATTGAGAAGGTCTCCAAGCTCGAAAATGAGGTTAGGAAACTTAAGTATCTGTTGTTATTTGGAAACTTGTGGGTTAAGTTTAGTAACAATAATATTAGTAACCCAACTTTGCACTTTTATAAGCCTATTGTTTCCACCCCTAATTGGATAATTACAAATTTAATTTACACTCATATGTGAAGCTGATGTAAAATAGGAAATCCACGTTAGATGTAGGATTTCTGATCTTGGGGCTCTTCTTTTGTGTGTCAATTTGTCAAGTTAAGTAGTGATTTTCTATTTATAACTTTTGTACTTATAAAGAGAGAGCTTTGTAGTAATGTTAATGTTGTTTATCAACCTATTATTGCCCTCACCTTATTTCCTCACTTGTGGGATTACACTAAGTGTGTTGTTGTTGTTCTATTGCGCTCACATTATTGATGCTTTAATGTTTTTGGATTATTATGTATCGTTTGATGTTATGTTTGTGAATGGAAAATCTCATTTTAGGCTGTGTTTGTTTTCCATTTTACCCTAACTTGCCTGCACCCCTCAATCCGCACAACCTGCTAAAAGGAGAATAAATTAAGAAGCTGTGGTTGGGCCATAGACAAAAGATAGAAAGTGCAAATGCTCACAATAATATGCCGAAGCCACTTGCAGGGTAGAAAGAAGAGTTATTGCTTCTTTTTTTTTGTTTGGGGTTTTATGTTATTTTTTCTCAATATATCAGCTTCACAGTTGGTATACTTACAGTGGGCGTTCAATCATGTCGACAAAGTTGTTTACTGCAATGCTGCTTTATTTCTTCTGCAGCTTTTTGACTACCAATACAATATGGGTCTTCTCCTGCTTGAGAAGAAGGAATGGTCTTCTAAGTTTGAAGAAATCAAGCAAGCCTTAGAAGAATTAAATGAGGCCTATAGAAGGGAACAAGCAGCTCATTTAATTGCTATATCTGAAGTGGAGAAACGGGAAGAGAATTTAAGGAAGGCGCTTGGAGTCGAGAAGCAATTTGCGCGAGAGGTACAAGTTCTACTTCTTTACTAAGCATTCATAGGTTTTAACATTCATTGTTCTTCGAAGAAATCGGCAACTCATGCCCGATCTTTCAGATCCATTTTCCAGTTCAGAAAAATAAATTGGTGACTCTAACTTGATTACTTACTGTGTTTATTGCTCGTACATTTCATCAGGAAAGCCAAAACCTGTTTCCTTTAGACAAGTAGGTATATCATTCATGATGCATTTCATCCTATGTGCTATTTAGAACGTCGCCAGTACTTGTTTCTAAGGACTAAGTAATCAGTGATTTAGTAGTATAGGGTATTAACACAACAACAATTTATAGCATGCGTTATAATTTACAATTTCAGGATAATAATAATAATGATACTATTATTATTATTATTATCATTATTATTATACTAACAACGTACAGTTTTTGAGACCATGTAATTATTGGCAGACATATTCTGCACTTCTGCTATGAGCTATCAGATGTTTATATGGGATGTTATCTCACAATTCTGGCACCTGTTATATCAATTTTTATTTTAACCTATAATGATTTTAGTGCATATAAATCCATGCTGGTATTTCTTTAAAGTAACAAAAATTATAACAGTCCAGATTGACTTGTATGCTTGGCTTCTAGTTGTAGTGGCTGGTTTTATTGATAACATGCATTTTATATGTTGAACTTGCGCAAAATTCCGGCTTTCATTTCCTTATAAATTACAATTTTTTAATGAATTATTTAAATGGCTTCCTCCATGTTATTCTTAGATAATAGCTATCTAGTAAGGTTCTGTCTATTAGTTTTGGTGACTAATGTGATGACGCGCAACATCATCATGTCACTTAGGTGCCATGTGGCATAAAGTTGTCAATGTGGAAGGCTTACATAGGAAGAAGTCGAGATATATGGAGATCTCCCTTAGAATTCCATGGATTTGCATGGAGGGTATGTGCACTAACAACTATAATTGTTGGTTTGGTGCAGCTAGAGAAAGAGTTGCGTGAGATGCGCTCGGAGTATGCGGAGACCAAATATACCGCTGATTCAAAATTGGCCGAGGCAAATGCACTGGCTACTAGTGTTGAAGAGAAATCATTAGAGGTAGAAGCAAAGTTGCGTGCAGCTGATGCCAAGCTTGCTGAGGTGAGCAGAAAGAGCTCTGAAATTGAGAGGAAACTTAATGCAGTCTATGCCCAAGAAAATGCACTTCGAAGAGAACAGTCATCTTTCAATGCAGAGTATGCTATTGGCTATCTATGAGACTTTCTTATCCCATATTTCACCTCTAATTTGTTCCCATTTAAATTCACAGTTGCTTGATAGTGACGCTCTTTTCTCTTGTTGTGTCAGGCGTGAAGCTTATGAGACTAATTTATCCAGACAAAGAGAGGACTTACAAGAATGGGAAAGAAAACTACAGGCAGCAGAGGAGAAGTTGGCTGATGGCCGAAGATTGCTTAACCAAAGAGAGCAACGAGCCAATGACACTGATAGAATTTTGAGGCAAAAGCAGAATGACCTTGAAGATGAGCAGAGGAAAATTGTCACCGCTAACTCAGTTTTGAGGAAGAAAGAAGATGATATGAGCAGCCAGATAGAAGATCTTACTCACAAGGAGAAGGCTAGTTTCCTTGAATTCTTCAAGTGCCTAGCTGCAAAAGTGTAGTATGATATTTACCTTACAAGTTTTCCACTTGATACAGGAACTTGAAGATGCAAGAAAGAGTCTGGAGATAAAAGAGAGGGAGTTGCTCGATCTACAGGAGAAACTGAATATTAAAGAGAGAGTGAGTTCCTTTGTCCTTTCCTTTTCTGGGTTTGTCTAGTACGGATGGTTGAAAGTTAAGGCATTATTGATGAAGGTGGCCTCTGTTATCTTGAGTTCACTTTTGTCTGGCAATTATTTATTACGACGAAGCCATCAATCCTAGAAATTTTATCAGTAATTATCTTTTTTTTTTCTTGAAATTTTTGGAGGGAGGAAATTTAGCAAATTGTTTTTGTTGAAAATTTTCCTTTGAACCTGTTCCAATTCTTTGAGTTACCCTTTAAAAGCTTCCTCTGCCTTACGTTTTCTGTGGTTCAGTTTTCTAGTTTTCCTCCATCTTCCACCCTCCGAGTCTTTTGAGGAAGAGAGTAACTTGAAAAAGAAAAGTCAAGTATCTAAGATACCATTAAAGTTTGACATTTACCTTAAGACTTGTCCTTTCTAATTGTAAACAGGATGGTATTCAAAATCTAATGGATGAACAGCGAAGTGTCCTGCATTCCAAGGAAGAGGAATTTGAATTGGAACTGAGGCAGAGGCGGGCATCATTGGATGAGGAACTGAAAGGTAAGGTGCTTGAACTGGAGAAAAAGGAAGCTGAAGTTAATCACATGGAAGAGAAGATTAAGAAACGAGAACAGGCCGTCGAAAAGAAAATGGAAAAAGTAAAGGAGAAGGAGAAGGATCATGAGTTGAAGTTAAAAGCACTGAAGGAAAAGGAGAAATCTTTGAAAAATGAGGAAAAGTTTTTGGGAACTGAAAGGAAGCAACTAGATTCTGAGAAGGAGAATTTGCTAGCTCTGAAGGCTGAGCTTGAGAATGTAAGAGCTGAGCTTGAAAAGCAACAGATCAAGATTAGTGAGGATACAGAACAACTTAAAATAATTGAAGATGAGAGAATGGAATATGCTCGCCTACAATCGGAACTGAAGCAGGAGATAGACAAGTGTAGACTCCTCCGAGAAGATCTATTGAAGGAAGCTGAAGATTTGAAGCAGGAAAAAGAAAGGTTTGAGAGAGAATGGGAAGAACTAGATGAGAAAAGATCTGAGATCAAGATAAACTTGCAGGAACTTAATGAACAGAGTGCGAATTTCAAAAAACTGAAGTGCACTGAAGAGGAAAGGATAAGCAAGGAGAAGCTGGAAACAGAAAATTATGTCCAGAGGGAGTTGGAAGCCCTTAGAGTGGCAAGAGAAGCATTTGAAGCTACCATGGATCATGACAAGTCAATATTAGCTGAGGAAACTCAAAGTGAGAAAAGCCAAATGCTTCATGCTTATGAACAGCAGAAAAGGGAACTTGAAAGTGATATGCAGAGGAAGCAGGAGGAAATGGAGTCTGCACTGCATGTACAAGAGAAACTCTTTGAGGAAGAGAGGCAGAAGGAGCTCAGCAATATTGAATATTTAAAGGAAATCACCCATAGAGAAATGGAAGAGATGAAATTAGAAAGAGTCAGTCTGGAGAAAGAAAAACAGGAAATTTCTGCTAACAAGGGGATTCTTGAAGTACAACAGTTGGAAATGAAAAAGGATATTGATGTGCTTGTTGGCTTAAGCAGGAAGTTGAAGGATCAGAGGTTAGCTTACATTAAGGAAAGGGACAGGTTTATTGATTTTGTCAAGCAGCAGAAGAGCTGCAGCTCTTGTGGAGAAGGAATTCATGTAATTGAGTTTTATGACCTTGAAGCTCTAGCTGAAGCAGAGACTTTTGAGGCTCCTCCTCTGCCAAGTGTTGCACAGGAATATTTGAAGGATGGTCTACAAGGATCTCCGGGAAGGGCTAGTGATGAGCTGTCCCCTGGAGCTCTTAATACAGGATCCATGGTTTCTGCTGGAACCATGTCCTGGCTTCGAAAATGTACATCCAAGATTCTCAAATTCTCACCAAGCAAAAACATTGGAAATGCTGCTTCTGATTGTCTGATTGATGAATCTTCTCTGTCACAGAAGTGTGCAGGCATATCACCAAATAAACAATCAAACAAAGGAAATCCAATGAATCTGTCTGTTTCCATGAATGTTCTTGATGATCAGAGGGTTCAACAGGATGATGGCGTTAGAGAGGTCAAAGTTGGCCAAGACAATGTAGAAGACTCTCATCATTCAGACATGAAAGCTGGCCAGCGCAGAACTGTCAAGAAAGGGCGTGGTAGAAGTAGTAAAACAGAAAAAGCTGCAAATACAAGGACATTTCTTGGAAAAATTCCTAAAGAGGGTGAGAATATCACCAATGGAAGTTTGGAGACTTCAGATAATATGAACGAGGAGAGCCAGAGAGGATCTGGTCTTTTGGGTGGAGCACCGAGAAATGCCAGAAAGCGTAGTCATACATCACAGGGAACAGCTAGTGAGATTGATGGCAATAATAGTGAAGGACAGTCGGATAGTGTAGCCAGCATTCGCGGGAAGAGGAGACAACAGGCTGCCCCTAGTGTGCAGGCTCATGCCGAAAGAAGATACAATCTGCGCCGACCTAGAAGGTACGTTGTTTGAATGCCTTCTTAATAATGCATAGACTTGTTCTACCCACACACCTAAAAAGATTTGCAATGTGAAGTAGGACCTTAGGACATTGCAGAACTTCTTGAGAATCACATGGAAAATTTTCATCCCTCCACCCCCCTCGAAATATATATATATGTTCACCAAGCATTATGAGCTACTGTTATTCACATGCTCAAGAGACAATTTTATTTAGGATAATTCATGGTATTTGACTTGCACATTCTTTTGTTCTCAGTGCTGCACCAGCAACATCCAATGGATCTTTGCCAGACCCAGTCTCAGAATCTCAGGAAGAGAATCGGAACTCTAAAGCTTCCCTGCAAACTCCTCAGGTGAACAACAGTGAAGATGTAAAAGATAGAAATTTCGTCATTGGTCATCCCACGGTAGCTGAGAGCCCTGTTAGTACTCTTTTCCATCTGTTATACACAATTTCATAAACATACTCAAACTTGTTGGAATATGTTTCAGAAGTTCTTTATACTTGAGCTACTTTTGTGTGGTATGCACATATTTTGTTCTCTTTTATTCCTTGGAACACCTCGTTCCACTGGATTTTACTACAGTTTTCTTTTGAAAAGGTAAAAGATATTATTTACAAAAGCAGCATTAAGTGCTGCAACCCTCTGCAGAGGGTGAGCAAATTCGTACGACAATTTCATGTTTGAAAAACTAGTGTAGCAGCATTAGGTGGTGCTGTTATAGACTGGTAGTTTCATCAATGTGATCTATGTTTTTTTGTAACCAGCTGTTAATTAACATTTATTATATTTCTCTTGCCAGTTGAATGATGCAGTGGACAATCAGGAAAGCAGTGCTAACATGGCAAATGAGCTGTTGGATGATACAGGTTTGAGTGAAGAGGTGAATGAAACACCAAAACGACCTTCAGCTTACAGAGATGAGGAAGGGTCTGATGACAGTGATGATGAGGAGGAAGAGATAGAACATCCCGGTGAAGTCTCTGTAGGGAAGAAGATTTGGACTTTCATCACGACATAGTGGAGACCTAAATAACTGTAGTTTGTGGTCGTGCATTGGAGGTAGCTCTAGGAATCTTGATTGTTATTTTGTTTCTCTTGCTACTTGTAGAGTAATTTGATGATTTTAGAGTAATGTGCAGTGGTGTGTATCCTTAAAGTTTAGTCAACAGAAATCAGTTTAGGGTCGGAAATTTGATTGTTCATATAATGTTGGTCCAACTCTGGGTGCATGCATATTGGTTTAACAATTTTTAGTATCCATATGCTTGCTGTCCCTAAGTTGACCATTGCAGCTGTAACACTAGAGTGTGCTTCTCTCCTGTATCTACACCATTGAAAATTTAACCACTAAATAGGTGGATAATATTCTTCAATCTATTTGATTTTGATCCTCCTTGTAGGTGAAATAGTGGACGACTGTGTAATTAGACTTGCGTACATATCTGAGATGCTATTTTCTATGTTTTGTTACTAGAGAAATGCTTTCCATGGTAAGAAGAAAAATGGCTTCTCACTTGTGGTTAGATTCGCTACCACTATCTTAACTTTTAATTTCATTACATTATCTCTTCAATTTTCAAAAAATAAATAAGTTTTTATCGAACACACTGATTTGCAAATAGTAAACACCAATTTAATTTGGAGAAAAAAAAACATCAATATTTTAATGAAGCAAACACTAAACACACGAGAATCTACAAAATGGGGGCAAAGAGGCCTGTATTATAGGGATCTGAGTTATATGTTCAACAGGAAATCCTGCGCCAGACACTTCTCTTCGACTATATTAACTACTTGTATTATATTTATCTACAAACAACTACACTTCAGCTAAATTAACTATTTGTACTACTATATTCATCTCCAAAAACTTCCTGAGTTCCCACATAATGGGTCTCTAGGGAGGCAAGCTAATAAGGCCTAAGCCATGTTAATCAACTACAGTTGGTCACTATGTACATTTCATGTTTAACATATATACTATGATCTTGAGCAGGATTTATGGCAATCTTCACAAAAACTTTGCCACCAGCTGATGAGATTGTGCATCGGATCAACGTTGTCAATTACAGAACTGGCTGTACACTTGCGATGAATTTACACTTGAACAATCATGGCAATGTAATTTCATGTAGTCGCTAACCCCTTTCACCTCTCTGAAGCAATGGATTCCTTCTTGCTACATGCTTTTTAATGTCCCTGCATCATATTTGATGAAAGTGGAGTGACATCAATTGTGAAGCAAAAACATTGAGCAAAAGTTCAGGACATTAAACATACTTGCAACGGGGAACTAGGCAACTGATATCTTGACATGTCTGTGAATGCCAATGCAGTAAGGACCAGATTTTGCGACAAAGTGCGCATCCCCCTGGAACTCTAACACTGCACCGGCTTGCATGTTGAAAAAGTTTCCTCATTTTGAGGCATCCTGAGTACGAGCAGGGATTACTTGGGGTTGCACGGCATTGTGATGCATGCACCAGTATATCCATTAATTTGACCTGCAACAGCAAATATCTTGTTAGATGAACGGAGCAATGCTAAATAGAACTATCAACAAACTAAGAACGTTATATGTATATAACAGTTGAGACCAGCACTTTATCCCAACACTCAAGATTCAGAACATATTGCGTTAGTAGACCCTTCAAAAAAAAAAAAGTTACGACGAGTAGACACTCTACACTGAAACACTGATAACTAATATAACTGACATGCCCAGTTCTCTATGTGATCTTACAAATAAGAGATATAGCAATGCACACCTTCAATGGTCTCTGACCCTCGAATTGCTCCTTTCCGAAGCCAGAGTGAGTTTTAGACAGGTGAATGTTCTTGTTGAGATGATACAATATCATCATTGAGGAATGCTTGGCACGACGGAGTGAATCAAATTGATAGTGATTTTTCTCGCAGAAGCTTAAAAAAGAATGCCTATTCTCGAAAAAATCATTTTCAATAATGGCATCTTGGTCCTCAGTGCTAGCAGGTATATCGTCCACCACAACCTACAAGGTATTCACCATACCATCCAATAAAAAAAAGGGTAAGTAATCCAAAATTTGTGAACCAACAACTTCTTATTCTCTAACTCCCATTCTATTCATTTATATCGTGTATTACTCCTCTCTTTCCCGTCATGTCTCAGACCCATCTCACAGCTGGTAAAGAACTTTTTTAAGGCAAAAGAGAGTTCACCTCAGAAAGTAAATGCTCTTCTCCACTACTGGAAGTGTGTGTTTTCTGCTCACTAAGGTTATCCTTCAACGCGAGACACCTGCAATAAGAAAAAATATAAATTTCATATTACGGAACATATTGGATATTGCTATTATGATTCTCGCAGAAGTAGCCACCATATCTACACATCAGAAACAAATTCACTATTACACGTCTTTCTACACATTGATATTACAAAACAGATTGAATATTACTATTATGATTCTCATGGAAGTAACAACCAGTCTGCGCCAAAGATATCTATTATTGACTGCAGAAAGGGTGCACGGAGCTGAAAGGGCTCATGTTGTTTAAAAGGAGGTGCAGGGGACATGGCGGAAGTGTGGAGAATTTTTTATGACTTAATATCCATAAATGGAAGAAAACGATGAAGTTTTAACTTCCTCTCTAGTTGTCCAAAGCAGCATAACATGAGTAATATATTATACCATTAGGATGATGTAAAATATCAATCAGCTCCTCTCCTTCCCATATCAAATATAGTTCAAAAGAAAATTCTTCGAGGAATAAAAAGGAGAAACTAAAGAGGTGGAACTATCACCTCGCACATATATGAAAGTTTCTGCACTGCTTACAAGACCATCGACCTTCTGATAATATTGCTTGTTGGCAGTTTGTGCACATAACATGCAAGTTTACAATGATGAAATCTTCTTTCACGGGTAAGATTGTTTGCCCCAGCTGTCAATTCAACGAATTAGAAAGAATTAATTTATAATTCATTCACACTATTGGAAAACATTTGAGTTCTTTGGGATGAACACACGCACATGCAGAGAGATACAAACACACACTCGCTCAGACATGTAAAAAAATATTTGTCTTAGCATGTCTCATCAATAATCCAGACAAAGAGATCAGTTTTATTAACAGCAGAGTTCATAGCTTCTCATTTGCTGATAATCACACCATTCATTCTGGATATTATAAATTGTTTTTTCTATTACTGCAAAATGGTAAGATGCTCATTAGATGTTGCAACCATTTTAGATGATATTTAAGGTTTATCTAATCCTCCATCCCATTATACCTCCTTTTTTCAAAAAAATCTAAAAAGAAGAAAGTTCATTGAACATCCATGAAAAGAAGGAAGTTCATAAACCTCCATGTACTCCCCTCCTTTCTTTGCATATTCCTAATTGTTCATATCTTCTTTTTGTAGTTTTACACAACAATAAGAATTATGTGACAGATCCACTTTTATTCTCACACCTACTCCAACTAAGGACATAACTCAGAGCAAACAACAAAAGAAAGATCCTTCAGTTGAAGTATGCAAACTGCGGACATAATGAAGCCATACCTTTTGCATCACTAGAATATCTTTAGTTGCATCTGCAGAAAGATTGTCATGTCCAATTGCTTTTAACGTACTCTTTGTCATTAGCTTTTTAACTTTATTCCGTGAATCACCTCTGCTCTCTTTCTCAATATTCCTAACTATATCTTCTGCAGCACCCGACCAATAGTCTCCGTCGAAATATGGCAAATGAGCAGCACTTATTCTGGCACTATTCCTTGTACTCGGCACAAAAAAGTGGTCATATAAATTAGTGTAGTTCACCACGATATCCTCTTCAGAGGCTTTCCTTAACATTGACCTATACCTGCAGCCCAAAATAACATAATACATTCAACTCCATTGAAATACTGTGTTGAGACCAAGAAGTACCCCTGAAACCATTTGGTTAGTATTGAAAGCTTAAAGTTAATATTGTCTAATCAGATTTGAAGAATTTAACGCAACAGATGGAGAAAGGTAATATCATTTACTCAAATTGGAAAAGGTGACTCCCTGTAGGACTGAGACTAGGCACAAGAGAAATTGACAGCTCCCGACAAAGCACTATTCTGGAAGGGGTTTGTGGAGTTGGAAAATGGTCATAGCAGACAAAATACTCAAAAGGAGAATTGGTTAACTCAACAGGTCACTAACTTTCTACAGGACCACTTCTGTAAAGTCATCAAGATTAGGTGGATTCATGTGAAAATTTGGTTCTGCAGGAGATTGGGACAAACTAAAAACAAAGAGGGTAAAGTGACAAAGCATAGCAATCATACCTTCATGCCCTGATGTGGACGGTTTGGAGGTAGTGGATCAGAAGAATTTGAAGGAATCCGTAGAATTCTTTTTTATATTTAGAAAGATTGGTTAAATTTTGTACATTTTTGAGTTGACAGAACCTTCCTACAAATATAAATATGATGATCTTCCAGAATAGAAGGGGATCTTCATAAGTCTTACGATGAATTTGACTGGCAGGCTAGATGGAAATGAGAAGGAATATCATTAGCTTTTTATTTAGTACTAATTGGTGAACTGACAGAATTCATAAGCATTCAGCAGGCTCTGGAGGAATTCCAGAAGGACAGAGAATTTAGGAATCTGAGATTTTGACAAATTAGAAGTTCATGAATGGAGGGATTTTATATTAGTAAAAAAAATCTCAGACTTTCTGAACTGTCGAAGCAAAAACTTTGTTTCTGAGTAGGCAAACTTCATGGTGTGATTTACTTTTGAAGTCTTGAAAGCAGAAAACTGATAATATGTGAGAACTTGTTCCCTTTTTGCTATCAAAATTACAAAAGAAAAATTGCCCATTTCTCCATGTATATCTATGAAAAAACTAAAACATGATTATATTGATATCTAACACGAGAAAAGGGGGCAGGAAGGATGAGGAAGGAAAAAGGAGCGCAATAGGAAGACACATACCATAACCGGAGCTTCTCTGGTTTTGGTGTTTTCTGAGATTCAGGATGGCAATACAAGATGTAGTCTTCACCTTTTACAGGGGGGCAAGCCCATAAATAGCAGGTTGTAAAACCTCGTTTCTTGCAGTAATCCATGTACCCAATCTGATGTGATAACCAAGAAAAAGCAAATGTTTCGTTAATCTAGTGATTCAACAGATAAAACTAAAATCTATATTTAAATATAAAAAGGAGAGTATTTTGCACTTACCAGTATTTCATGGTATACAAAAGTTCGCAGAGCTTCCCCTTTCACAGTTTCTATATCAGGTTTAAAGTACTTGATAGAATCGAGATATGATATATAGACGCAACGTCTATTCGGAGGGGCACATTCTGATCCAAACTCTTGGACATACATTCCAAAGAGGCAAACATCTACTCCTCCAATTTTCTGGAATAATAGAATCACCTTTTTGGACATTATGTCAGATTCAGCTCAAAAACATATATAGGTATTTTCAGAAGACATGAACAAAAGAAAGGGTGTGGACCACAAAATGTTAAGCAATTTCATTTAGTACTCCACAAAATCATAAACAAGCAAGTGTTGTCGAAAATATCAAGCTAAGATCGAACTTCATGATACAATAAAGCTAAAGTTTGGATTGAGATTATAGCTTTAATAAGGGAATCTTGCATTTTTAAGTCACAAGAAAGAATGCCAAAAGTTCAATTTTCTCACCTTTGATTTGTACTGGAACTCTGGAGGATAACCTTCATTGTGACAAAGATCCAAAAATGGCTGCTTTACTTTCAAATTTCTGTTAACAGACAATACCACTCTGACAATTAGATCTGCTGCACCAGGTACCTGCTCAAATTTAAATATTAGAAAAGTGTTTGTTATGTGGGTGACCCTAACCATAGTGAAAGTTTGTCGGGAACAACTACATTCAACCTATTTTAGTAGCTTACCTCATCAGCATCCTGTCCTGACAATTTTGCTCTCTCATTTCTTTCTAGGTTGAGGCGCCTGAACAGTCTCTGCTCAATGTGATCACTAAGCATAGTTCTTGGAAGATCTTGAGCTCCGATAGAAACTGGTAAAGGCACATGCTCTCCTGCTTCTATCTCCTTTAAACAACAAAATGGACATATGTACTTCGCTTGTCCTTCTAAATCTTTTTTAGCATTATAGAGAGCACAAATTTGATGTTGCCAGCATTCACACTTATCACATTGTACCCACTACAGATATCCCAATGAGATAAATTTAGCAACAACAGAAAAAATAAGTACCAACACGTGAAACAGAAAGTCATACTAAACTCACCGATTCTTCATTTTGATCATTATTTTTTGCCTTTTGAAACTTATTTTTGCTAATTGATAGTCCTTGGGATGAGACATCATCGCCACACGACTTCCTGAAACATTTTGTACAAAAGCAGTGCCGTCCACCAGCTTCGTCCATAGCCCAATAATAAACCAAGTTGCGCTTGATACACTTACAACATGATGAACAATATACAGGTCTTGGGACAAAAACAAGCCTATCGGTGCCACATAATTGGCAGACATTCTCAGAGATAGGAAGTACTGTCATATTTCCAGTTGATCCCTGCAAAAAATGCAACGGAAAACTAGTTGTCAAGCTAATTAACAAATTGACGAGCCAACATTTGGATATAGAGAGCCTCCATTGAAATACCACATGCACAAAAATAAGAAAATAAAACAACTACCCCTCAGTCTCAAGCAAGTTGGTCGCAGCTATATTAATCCTCTCTTACCATTTTACTCAATTTAACCTCATCGCCGATATCATATAAAATAGAAATAATAATAGAAATAAGCATAAAAAGTACTTTAGAATTTCTACTAACGTATAAATCTCTAAAAGGCGTAACAACTCCTAGAAAAGTATAAATACGTAAGGTAAAAGTGCTAACTTGACTAAAACAAATTCTCAACTAATAGGCATCTCTTATAAATCCCTTCGCCTGTGTGAGCTTGCTCATATTTCCAGTCCTAAGTCCGAAAAAAGAAGAAGGTTGTGGTAGGTTGACAACCAATGTAAAACTAGCCATGAAGGATCCTCACATACAAAAAATAAAATAATAAAGATAAATATAAACAAAAGAGTAACCAAAAATAAAGAAGACAGGAAAAGAATTGAGGAGATTAGCACAAATACCTTTATCCTAATGCATGTACTTCAGTAAGTTTCAAATAACTAATTATATTTCTGCAAGCCCCACAATGTGTGCAATCTTTTAGATCCCCTCCCCCCCACCCCCTACCCCAACTGACCAAAATGGAAGAAAGGTCCCTTTTTCTAATTCTTTTTTTTCTGCAAGGATATTTGCCTTGCTAAGGAGGACTTCTCCATGAATTTAATAGGACAGTAACCAATACTGGAAATGCTAAGAAATGTCTTTAAGTTGTGCTTCTTTTACTTAAGCTATCTCTACAGTATGTGCTAATGCAAGTGCAAAAACTTATAGTTCGAGAAGGTTTGTGAACTCATTTATGCATAAATGTGAGACACTTCTTTACATATCTGTGTGACTTCTAATTCATTGTTGATACCTTATACCAGAACAATAAGAGTGATGACCATAAAAGAGAACAAGAAATTATACATAAATTGTACCACTAAAATATTATCACAAAATAAACAAGTTGAAGAAAATTTTACCCAGCAGTCAGACCAGCTCAAACAATAATCTATCAAATTCTTCTGAATTTTGTTACTCTTTAAGTCTTCTTTAGTTTTGATATGAGAAAAACACTGAACATATATGAAGTCTTATATTTCAAACCTGATTATATTGACTGAGATTGTGGATATGATCCTTCAACTGCTCAATGGTGAAATAGTCCGTCAATGAAATACCCAGCCTCTTTGGATCTTCTGATCTCATTTCCATCTGATAATCAGCTTTTGGTTCAGTTAAATCGCTCCTTGCAGATGAAGTGGTCTGGTCATACTTAGATGCACTTTGTAACTCCTGTTGTTGATCATCAGTAGGCTCTATAGGAAGAAAAGACAACCTTTCTAAGCTCATCTGGGAAGAACTGCCAATCTCATTATAATCTGTTCCACTACTGCATGTATGCACTGTCTTCTGCAGTCCACAATCATTAGTGAGCTCTGTAGAGGAAAAAGAACCATTTGCAACATGCAAGATGTCGATGTTGGCAAGATTGCAAGATTCACCAGCTGTATTCTGGTCCTCCACACAGCTGACAATTTCGTTACTGATCTCTGTTTTATTCTTCTTGCTGCAAATAAGACTTTCAAAGAACTGCCCTAATGATAAATGTCCAGCAGCAGGGGACTGCTGATTGCCAGAATCAGCATTGGAAGACCCACATTGAAGCACAGGGAGATTTTCCACCCTCTTCCGCTTTGATGGTGGCAAAGCAGCTTCATTGATAGAAGATCTAAAGCCACTACATTCCTCATTATGGAGAATCGCTACCATATTTTTGTCTGACTCCTTAACATCTGTAGGATGCAGCTCTCTGACAGGCTTGCACATCCCACAGCCAGCATATTGACAGTTTTGAAAATGAGATATCAGTGCTGAGTTCCAATCACACCAACATCTCTTTTCATTGCATACAGTTAAATGCAAGTAATTCATAAAAGGAATTCGAATTCTCCCAGCATCTACTACTCCACTATTGTAATTGATGTATAAAGCAAGAATATCATGTAAAGACAAATTATCTGAATTTGAAAGGTTTGCAGATCCGATTGGATGAACATCACAGTCAGACCCATTTGAAGAACCAGTATGAAGTTGATGAAGATCACGTTGCTGAATACTAGGTAACTGCTCTGGGAAAGGCTGGAATACACTGGGTAAACTCGATCTTTGTCTTGATACATTATTCATAGTAGCATCTTGCTCCACCAAATACCCATATGATCTTGAATTAGGCAGCTGATAAGACATTGCAGTTGGCAAAGTGTAGTCCTTAGAAAACCAATTAACTTCCGATTCTGAAGGCCAACGATTCAGATGAGACGAATCTACACTTTGTCCATATAATGCTGGAACGTTGTCATGATAAATATTCTGATTAGTCTCCAGGTATCTTCCACAGTTTCTGAGATTGAATTCAACTGACCAAATCAAGCAAAAAAAGCAAGTATAATAAGTGACTACACACAAAAAAAAAAGTAGTAGTAAAAGTCGTGGAGAATGGAAGTACATTTAAGAACTAAAACATTACAAAAGTTCATAAGAAATAGAAATTACCTTCATCGGAATACTGCGGCTTAATTAGACTTTTTGATACTGACTCGGAGATACTTAGAAAACCGTTATCTGAATATGTTAGTCCATCTTCATAGGGTTCCTTATTGGCATTCCATTCTCCTTCGGAACATACAGTAACAGATGAGAATGGCTCAGGAGAATCAACAATCTCTTTGGAAATATATGACACACCGGCCGAGGAAAGTACTTCTCCCAATTCACCTGGCTTATTAGCTGATAATGCTGTATCAAAAGTAATACCTTTAGAATTTCAAATTGCAACGCATTAAATGTCACACGTAAATGAGAGAGAGAGAAGAAAACAGAAAAGATAGATCCATGTGAGGGTGCAAAGCTACTTGCCACTTTCAAAGCTACAAAAATTGTCAAAAACTCACCTGTTTGGAGTAAACTGTCAGTCAAACAAGAAGCCGTTAAGTGATCATGATGTACAGATTGCAAATTTGAACTGCAACAAAGTGCCTCATGCTGCCATGCTTGTGGATTATATGCTTCTTGCTGGAATAAGTTTTGATATTCATGTGAAGGTATCTCTCCCACATGATCCTGCTATTTTAATTCAAAACAAATGAGCTCAACTCAATGAAGCAGTTTAGACCAAAAATTAAACATTAGTCAACCAACAAAAGCAAACTCTTAGCTGGTGATGAAGAATTCATTCAGAAAGCAATGGACTATTGACAATCCTCGAAAAAAAATCCAATTAAAGAATCACGTGACAAGAGAATTTGACATGTTTCTCGGACTTAAATATAATAACCACCAAAGAAACAGACCTTACAAACTGCATCTACTGATGGCTGACTACTCAAGTCAGGCAAATTGTTGAACATCTGCTTGCCCATGTCCAAATTCCTTTTCCACATATAACTCTTGCTGCAAAGGAAAATAGTTTTTCAAAGTTAAGAAAATTATGCAAGTGTATCATTCACATGATATCATATGTCCAGGTTTTAACAACTTTGTCCATGGAAAAAACAAAAACAAATTTAGAACTTACATTCTATTTCCAATCATTCCATTCACAGGAACCCTTGTTTGATCATTGGTCCACTCAATCTGATTATCATTTTGTTTCTCACGCTGTTGTGAACCTGTGGTATTAAGCTGGAGGAGATCTGATGCCTCCTGGAATAAGCAGGTTCCTCCAGAACTAAATGGTACCCCAACACTGACTCTGTTCAAATTCATCTGGCTTTCTAAACATTCCTCCTACAATGAAAATTGAAAAGCCAACAAAATTAGGAGCTTTCTACACTTACCAGCTGACACAAACGTGTTTATATTACTTGCAGAAGTGATACTGACGCTATGCGAGTTAGAATTTTTTTGTTCAAGTGCCAGCAATGGCAAATTCAAGAAAGAAAAAGATCTTCTCAACAGTTCTAAAAAGCATTAATCCATAAAAATCTTATATGTGTGTGTGTGTGCCTATCCAAATTATATATATGTCTAGAACCTTTATATCTTTTTACCAGGAGAAAATAATTACACCTTTGAAATTCCCGGGACATCCTATATAGATTTTCATTTGAAGTACTTTCTCTTGTTTAAATGCTCATCCTCTCACTGCCCTGGTAAAGGGGTGGCGCCAACCACGTGAAGTTCTATTCAACAACTATGGTGAGATTACCTTAAACAATCTCCATTAGATAAACATAGACTAAATCCTACACAATGGGAGTAACTACACATAGAACGTACAATTAACTCGAACGTTCAGTGCAAGTAATTAGTATCCATTATTGATCCATTACACTAAACAACTAGTTACCAAGATAAGTTATTCAAGATAAAGAAATTTTAAAAAGGAATATTCAATAGAATCCGTAAGTCTAAAATTCAGCCCTATTCTATGATTGTCATGCTGATCAACTTGCATGCCACTGCATAATTCAAGGAAGTTTTTCGTATTTAAATTGTAATTCATACCACTCACATGCAAATTAGTAAACCTAATCACAATTCAAGCCATTATCATGTATAAAGCAATTAAGAACGTAAATTTTGTAGGGCAAAAAAAAAAAAAGTTCATCAAAAACTATGATATCCTAACAAAATATTACAATTCAATTAACAAAATTCGTTCTTTACCATTATAATTCATTCGACGAAGATTAGGGTTTTGGTATAATTAGGGAGACGACAAGAAAAATAAATTTATAGAGAAAAAGAGAACATACAATTTGATTTCTACGGGGAAAGACAAGTTTGTGTCCGCTTCGGAAAAAAAGGAGGGTAAGAGCGCGGCAAGGATTTGAGGCTGAACCGGATACGAATTTGGGTTGGATTCGGATCTTTCACTTATTTCTAGCCCACTACAATAAGTTTCAGCTTGGGTCAAAGGTCCATTAAATAAGCCCTAAGTTATTCAAATCCTAAATAAAAAAGGATACACTCATATTTAATACTGTATTATCCTTTTTTTATTTTGGAGTAGAATAACTAATATAATCATATAATTAAGTTTTAAAAAAATTGCCAATAATTATGAGTGGCTGTAAATTGTGAAACTTACTTTAAATAGCATGTATTTTAAAGAGCAACTTTCACATATATTAAACATAAAAATTATATTTGTATGTTATAGACTTATAGCTATAGTTTGCATAATTGCACTCATGTTTGCTATGGAGCTTTTGATTTGTATAATTTGCTACAAACATCCAATTTTATACAAATTGTTCAGTTTTGTATAAATTCATTTATACATTGTAATTTGTATAATAAGATCTGTAGTTGTATAATTATAAATGTATAGGGTGAAAATATATGTATTTGTATTTGTATATATACTTTTCTCTCGCTTTATACAAACACAAACACATTTTATACCGAAATGTATAAAATGACTAATTGTATACCGAAAATGGCTAGTTATATACCGAATCAGATGACAAAAAAAGGGGTTGTTTGCTGCGAATTACAATTAAAATAAACTATGGCTATAACATTTAATTTGAATTAATAGTTTACTATTTCATACAATTTTTCCTATTTTAAACACACCCTCATGTTTAGTGCATGACTGCCTCATCTAAAAATATTAATTATTAAAAAAACATATTTTTATTTATTCAAATAATATTTCATATGCGGGTTTGATTCGTTTTTAGTCAAACATGAATTTTTTTTGGATAATAGGTGGTGTGGAGCTCAAACTCAGCACCTCTGCCTACTCTGATATTATCTTAAAGTGTGTATAAAGAAGGAGAGTGTAGAGTACTGGCATCATATTTAGTATTTTGATGTGAAACATAAATTTATGTGTAAAATACTTTAAGATTCCAACAAATAGTGTACATGATCCTATAATGTTAAAAATATAATGGGTTCAACCGTTCAAGGCAAGAAATAAAGTTGAACCCATAAAATTTAAATTTTGAATTTAAATTTTTTTATGACTATCTTATCCAATGACTTAAATGGTTAGAGAAAATATATTTTTACCTTTTTAATTATATACTCTTTCAAAGACCGTAAAATTCTCTCTCTATTACTCAACGGAATTTCATGAATTTCAACTTCTACCTGAAGAGAGAAAAATCAACATTATTTAACAAACATAATAAAGTTGTCAAAAAATAAACTAACATAATAAGAGGAAGTTACGGGCACGGTACCGATTCATTTTATTTTATCAAGGCCTAACCCATTGGTGGCCCTAAAGTTGGCACTGATATTACATTTAAACACCTTAACTAGACAATGTTCATTTTAGACAGTTGGTATAGAGTTTCGCTATGTCATTTCGACACTTTTTGCTTGCATGGCATAATGAGTGTGATACACTCATTGACCAGCGCGTGAAATAGCTTTTCAGTTAATTTTTAATTAATTTTTCTTCTTCCTCTTCCCATTTTTAGCCACCATTTTACCCAAGTTAAATTTCATCCATTATAGATGAAGGTTTCGACAAAAATGACGAAAAATGTTTTTAAAATCTAAAAATAAATCCATTTACGAAATTTTTCTCGGAAGAATTTAATATTAATTTCTTTAAACTAAGCTAAAAATTTGTTTGAGATGGCGTGCAGATGTGGGGTGGGGTAGTGTCTGCAAAAGGATTGGGGGTGGAGAAGACGACTGGGATGGGTTCTTTTATTTGTTTTTTTAAAATTATTTTTTAATTATTTGGATAAAGATATTATGTGTCATTAATTCACTGGTTAGTTTTTATTTTTATTCAAAAATAATTATTTAATAATTACTTTTGATACAAATGACAAATGCATCATTTAATTCGTCACTTCACACGTCATTTGCGAGTATAACACATTTTATATATTTTTGCTGATATTAAAAAAAGTATCAAAATGACATAGCGGGACTTTACATCAGGTGTCTAAAATGAACATTATCTAGTTAAAGTGTCTAAGTGAAACATCGTGCCAACTTTAGGGGGACACCGATGGATTAGGCCATATAATCAAAGATAACTGACCGATTAGTTGATTTGCTTTTAGTATGCAGTTTTATTATTCTTCAGACGTCGGCCATAATTATGGTGTTGGAAAGTTTACTGGTGAATCACTGAATGCCAACTGATTACATGCAAACTAAATCTTACGTTATTGCTTTTCTTTTTAGTCTGCTTACAAATTAACGTTCCTTTCTTGATTTGATACAATTTGATCTCACCGACATGTATACGACTATATAATTAAAAAACATTTTGATACAGTATACGTGTCTTTAATTTAAAATCATAAAAATTAAAGTCTTATTTTCATCAAACTAAGACACACAGATAAATAAGGAGGGAGTATGTTTTCTCATATAAAAGGGCCTTAACCAGGTTGGAAAAAATGAGATCTATATTTACGATAGCCTTTGACTCGTGAGTGATGCATGACCAGTAGAAAGAAGACCCTTCAATCCCATTATCAGTGAATTATTCTAAACAACACAGTAGATTACATTATGGGAAGGTGAACTAATTTATAACCAAGGGGACAAGTCACCTTGGGTAAAAATGTTAAGAATTGGAAGTAGCCCCAAGGTTATTACTAGGTTTAGTTTCAGTACACAATTATAATTAATCTGTTTATAAAAAGAAAAGTAGAAGTCTAGCCAATATTCGTCATCTGGGACAAAGTACAAATATGAAAAAGCACTTCCAACCTAGCTGTCATGAATCCTGTTCTATGTCTTGCTGCTGTCGTCTACAGTTCTACCTTAACCACCATCGTTGAATACTGGAGATCGGAGTATGCATGAATGGAGCATATCGTTGAACCAGAGGATTTACATGCCTCCCAATAGTAGCCCACATGCTCTGATGGTAACCAGCAGTAGCAGGAGCATGATACATAAGCTTCAATAGCTGCACAAGAGTTGAAATACATGTCAATGAAAATTAGGGATAGTAACTACATGATGGGACACATGCAACTTCCATCAAGTTTAAATTCTCAAATATGAATGAACATATTTAATAAAGGGCTGGGTAAGATATTTGTTGGCAGCATATGGGTGTAACTGAAAATACAGTGCGCATGACCAACAATACGAATATGTTTCATATTTGCTGTTTTATATCACAAAATTGAACTCTTCCACTCCAACAAGAATTGCTGTCATCACTAAGATGCAAAAGAGGTCCAAAAAAAAACAACAAAGAAGGCACAAATCTAGAAATTTCATACATTGCTTTCAGCAAAAGAGCTCATTCATCTAGAAATTGCAAGGAAAAAGAAGCTGAAAATACTAATGAAAATGACAGAATGACGCATACCTGCCAGTACATAAAAGTTTGTAGTATGTTACGCTGCCACCTGCATTTTGAAGGAAGTGGAAAGCTATAAGCATAAAATGGAAAGAACAATGAGAATAACGAGTATAAGCACCAGTAAGCTCAGATACTAACGAAAATAGGGAAACAACTAAAAGAAGTCCCAGCCCAATCTCAGCCTGTGAAGACAATATGCTAAGAGTAGTTGTGTTTGACTCGACCCATACACAAGCCTCTTCCAAGAATTTCCTGCAGATGTTGTCATATAAGTTCAGAAACACGGAAAAACATTTCTAGCACATCCCACCCTTCACACAACCCACAAGAAATAATCAACGGATGGCACAAATGGAGAGAAGAACATCAAATAGTACACCACTAAGAGATTTACAACATGAATAAGTATTTTTCCATGACATCAAAGATTTCCCTAGGATGTTATTCAATTTTAAACAATTTTACAATCTCTCATTTCGAGAGAGAACTTTTCTTTTCACGAAATTAAGGTACAGTTCTGCTACCTGTATAAAGAAGATGTGTTGAAGTTGCGTCGAAGAAACTTCGCAACATGTTCAAGTCCTCGGCATATCACGGGAATCAAAGCAACTGCTCAGCATTGACCAATAACATATGTTACTGAACTTAGACATCAAATCTATAAAAAATACTAAGAACGAGAAGGACGAACAAAACCAAACCAAACTAAAGCTCACATTTCAAGGAGAGATGTGAAGTGACAAAAGTAAGGCAGTAAATGAAGTAGAGAAAATCTTTCGCCATAATAACTGACTGAAGCCAAACTTGCAGTGCCTGCAAATTCCAAGCGCTAGGCTTCTGCAAAAAGGTGAAAAGATTTATCAAAAGTTGCCTCCTAGACCAAAAGATTTGAACTACCCTCAAACAAAGTAAGAGAGGAGAAAAAAAAATCGGCATTCAGAATTTACCCCATATAATGCGTATAATGAATACAGGGAAGAACATGCAGTGCCTGCAAAGGCCAATCGATATGCTCTGTTTGACAGATTTGTAGGTATAAGAGGAAAGATTGCAAGAACTGCTACAACAAGGACCTGTAAAGAAGGGTACCAAAAATCAATCGCAAGTTACTGAAGGTTATAAGAAGTCATGCTGAAAGGCAATAATCCTCCAAGGAATTTTTCCGTGACGCATCCCTGTTAATAGAGAGGCATCACTGCTAGCAAAAGTTGGCATGTGGTAAAGAAGGGCACTATCAGTTTCCATCACTATAACGGAGATGAGGTCCTATCTTTGAAAGTATATATACACATAATGACCTCTTTGTGCTAATAGAGAGTAAACCATTACCAGATAGAGCAGTTAAAACATTTTAATTTGTTGACAGGAAGCAGCTAATTAAAACTTTTTCACACAGTGCAAAATTTAAAAAGACAAATATTCCAAAATTCAAATCACTACGATGAAGATATGGTACCCAAGCATTCACTGAAAATTGTATAGTTTGACGGTTCCATCGCAGTGACGTTGCACTTGAAGTTGGAGTTGGAGTTGGGGATGTCCCAGAAGTTCTATTAGCTGCCCCTGAAATAAGTTCCATTTGGATGAAAATACAAATTTACATTTGAAATGAAGATGTCTACCCGGAAGAGGAGCTTTTATATTCATTCAGAAATCCGAAAGAAATTCATACCAGAGTTACGTTGTCTTGGCTGGTTGTTAGAAGTTGATGAAGAAGAAGATTGTGGGGCTGATGATCTTGCTGATTGGGATGAACTGCTGGTAGTCATTGGTTCAACAACAAGACCAGGATCCTGGACAGATAGATGCACAATCAACAAAGCGAACCGCAGAAGAAATCTCCCAAGATAAAAATAATAGTAATAATCAACTGATTATTTAGAATCATCTGAAATTCAGTCAGACAGAGCCAAGCTTAAGTACTCATCAGAAAGGGCAGATAAATCAGTTACAGAAAAGTTTAAATTGGAATTCACACTTCATTTCACTTCATGTTAAATATTTCTCAGTGTAAAGTCCATAATACTAGTAGCTCAGGACTGCTGCACCAGTGTGTAACAGAAAACCACCACCTAGTTTTATCCATCCCAGTTGAAAATTGGGCAATGAGGATTTTATAAGCTCTCGTACAACGAAACAATATCCAAGAATGATAGAAGCAATAGGAACTTATACAGTTATTCAAAATAACCATGTCATAGAAGCTAAAGAATAGGGTGACAACGTGCAGAAGAAGAAAGCAGGAGGATTGTCAAATAAAGTAAACATGAAATTCTCAACACAATTTCATCAAGCCCAAATTTGTCCAACACTGTATTTAGGGATGGCAATGGGGCGGGGCGGGTGCGGGGCAGAGCGGGTTACAACCTTTGTGGCACGGTGCAGGTTATAGCTTTTGCAGGGGCAGGTTTAAATCTTTTTAATAAAAACCATGCAGGGTGGAGTAGGTTGCGGGTTTGAGATAAATCCAATGCTAAAATCACTGAAGTATTTCTTCCACTTATCTTCAGTTTAGGCTTTAGGCAAGAAAACCAACTATCAAATAGATTAACCTTTTATTTGCTTTTATTAGCTTAATCACTTGGACTTATTTTCAAAGAATCAATAATTTATTTTTCTTTTGTCATTGTGTTATGTTAATTGAGAATCCATTTTTCCGCTATTCTTGGGGATCACTTTCTTTTGTCATTGTGTTATAATAATCAGTTCTCTTTTAATTCTTCAGTTGTTTCGTCGCTTTTTGTATATATTCAAATAATTCTAAACTATCAAATACTTGTCTTTTGATGAAAGGCTTCACAGCTATTGCATCAGTGATGTTTTTATGATAGCATAAGCTATCAAAGTCATTCAAAAAAGTTCTATTTTATAAAGAAAACAATAACAAATTTTGCGGGGTGGGTTTGGGCAGGTTGAAAGAGAAAATTTTGTTATGTGGGGTGGGGTGGGGGGGTGGAGGTCTTCACGGATTTATGCGGGTTTGCCCCGCCCTGCCCCGTTGTCATCCCTAACTGTATTTATTATCAATGCAATAATATAACAACAAGCTAAGGAATAGGATGACAAAGTGACCTGCATGAATTTCAAGAGATAAAGTAACTAATGTATAAGGAAAAGGCCTAGGAAAACCTCAAACTTAACGCTCTTAACTCAACTCCGCAAGGGCAAAAAAGGATATTTTACTGAATTCATATAGACAATATCAGTTCAGACTACAAAAGCCCCAAACACTGCATCGAGATTTCCCCGGAAATAAAGCCTTCCGAATCAACATATGGATATTAGATCCATTATAACATAAATCCCGCTATTAATGAAAATGAGAAATCCAAGGATCCCGGAGCAGTTAGGGGAAGAAAATACTGTAACAGATATAGTGTATATACACATGAAACGCAAATTCCTCAAACTAAGCACCAAATCTAAAACCAAGTGGAGTCTGCTATGTAACTCAGGTATATCTGTTCCGTTTTATTCGGCATGATGAGTCAATTAGAATAAGGGGGAATACTGACAATGTAACGATGGTAGAACTTGCGCTTGAAATGGTCGACAACATCGGAGCGGGAGCCCATGTGTGGAGGAATGAGAATGTTAGACCAGTAATCTGCCCATCTTGGATCATTCTCATAGTCATATGCCGCCGCCGCTATCTTCTTCAATTTCTGTGGATCCTCTGCCTCTTCTCCCATCTCTCTCTCTCTCTGCTAAATCAGTGGAGTCGTTGTCGTCGTCTCTTCTACAATTCTTCACAGTCGTTTAGTCGTGGAGTACCTAGAAATTTCCTCGCATTTCCTTTTCACACGTCTAATTAATAGAAATATATTTTTACTAATAATTTATTCTTAATTAATAATACTTAATATGGTTTACTTTCAAGAAAATAATAACTTTTAACAGTTAAAAATAAATTAATTTTATTTTGATTTTGAAATAATTTAAAATGCACTTTTTCGTAGAAATATTATGTTATTCGCTTTAGGTAAACGACATATTTCTTACAAATAATTAACCACATGAATGGAGCTAGTACTAAGGAGCATGGATTTCAATTTAATTTTTTCGTAGAAATATTATGTTGGTATTTATATTTTATTATTAAAATAAAATATTAAATGTATATGTTAGTCGTATAAAACTGTGGTGGAAGATAGCTATTACTAGTTTCGTGTAACTCTCTTCACCATTAGTTTCTTATAACTTATGTAATACCTATCAGATTTATCTACCTATATTACCACCGCTCAATATTCTACCCTTCTTCATCTATAAATAATGGTGCTTTTTCCTTTGTGAAGTATCAAGAAAGATGAGAAGTGTGAAATAATATTTAAGTATGTCCTAGTGAAAGAGAGTAAAAAAAACAAAAGAATAATATTTTAAGTCTTCAACTATATTCACTATACAAAAGAGAATAATTATATGTTGAATGCATGTGTTCTTTTGTGGAGTTTTGGATTCTTCAACCAATCCGAAATTGCTTGAGTTGTACGACGTTGTTGGGATGTTGTATTCTGGAGGGGACAAGTCAAGAGTGATACAACTGAATCAATGTAAATTATGCCGCAGTTGACTTGAATCTTCTTAAAGAGAGTAAGATATCTGTGTCTCAGCTTGAATACTTTTCTATTCATTTTTGTCTATTTATTTTCAACTGTAATTTTTGATATTTGTGATAGATTAGACCAACATATTATACTTATTAGTATTACTACAGTCTACATAAATAAATTATAAAATTATTGAATATAGTGTTGTGGTAAATTGAGCTGAAAAATAACTTCTGCTCACAAATTCGATTATCAATCATGACATTACCTTTATATAAATTCCTGACTACACTTCTCCAATTGCTACCTTTTTTGTAATAATATTTTGAGGTAAGTACCATACAAATATTACTATTCAGTGTTTGCAAGGAAGGCGTTGTGACGCATGGAATAGTAATCTACTGAGCTTTGACTTAGTAATTCTGGGAGGAATTTCATTATTTTCAACTGCTACTGCAAGAGGGCTTTGATCCCCAGACAAGTGGCCAGATATATTCAAGCCATTTTCAAGTTGTATGGCCTCTTCCAATGTTCCAACTATATTTCCAAAGCAAATATATCTTCCACACGCTCCATAGTCCATATCTTCATAGACGTAAATATGTGCTTCTGCCACTTTACTTACATCTTCAGTTGCTAGAATTCCTTGTCTTAGCATGAAATAGCCACCTACAAGTGAACATTTCTTCGAGTTAGTAAACAAATCGATCAATTCTCAATCTATTTTATTAGTTTGATCCATAAAATTAAATGTGAAATTTGATGCAAAATAGAGTTGCAATTGCTAAGCTCTTTTCCAATCCTCAATTAAGTGGAAAATTTGAAGTTATAGATTATTGATTGTGTGAAAAAATACCTTTGAGGTACGGGAGAGAAGTTTCAAGGTGAGCGTTTGGGAAAGATGGTGCCATGAGAAGTCCAGGACATAAAGTAACAAGTTTCACCTTCATCTCCCTTGCTTTCCTCCAAGCAACCTTTTCTGCCCTGGTCTTGGCCAAGGCTAGCCAAAGCTGTTTTTTCCGTGAAAAGATTTTAAATAGTAGAGACGAGGTGAATCCAGAATCTAGAGTTAGTGAGAGTAAATGATCATATTATATGTATACATTTTAATTCTCTTTGTATTCCGTCTGCCTTTTAGATGAAAACGAAGAATGAAGGCTAACAAGTATACCTTGTGTTCTCTACAGAATGTCTCATCACTCCAAGAGCTCTCATCTATGAGGTTTGGCAGGTCATTTTTCCAGATGCATGCAAGTAGAGAAGAGGTGAAAATGCATCTTTTAACATATGCTGCCCTGCCACAAGCTTCTATGACATTCTTTGCTGCTTCAGCTTCAATAAATGCCATTCGTTCCTAAATCATATCGGCTTGTCAGCATATCTTTGAGATTTACACAGGTTGGATTTTGTTTAGTAGAATTTTTTTAAAAACATTACTCAAAACAGAGCTGCTGCACTTGGTGGAATTTAAAGAAATTTCTGTTCATATTTTATATATATATATATTTCAGCAACCTGATGTGTATAAAGGAGGTTGAAGAAGAATTGCTGCTTCAATTATTCTGATGCTAACCAGCCAGGATTCAAGATTAAAGAAGATAACTACCTTAGAGTTGAGAAAGATCAAATCCTAAAGTTTTGGTCCTTGTGGACAATGAATAATATAATGTACCATTCCAAGTTAGTCAACTACCAAATAGAGTGAAATGAAGAACACAAGTTCTATGTAGTGATTAATATGAAGATACTTTTACATAATCGATCATATGACTCGAACAAAAGTTATTGGTAATCATTTATAAACTTAAATTCAAGAGAAAGAATATTATGACTAACCGTGTATCCAGAGATCCCTCGCGGATCAACGAAAGATGATGTGTGGAAAACAACATGACAACCTCTAAAAGCATTGCAGAGGCTATCTAAATCATCCATTCTTGCCACCACAACACTCTCCAGTTGCTTCACTTCTTCCCTCATCAGCTCCTTCATGTCCTCAAGATTAGCTTGATTTTGAATAATAACTCGAACAAGGTAACCATATGCCAAAAGCTTCTTGATCAAGTGAGAACCAAAGTAGGAGTTTCCACTGGTGACACAAACAATTTTCCTGTCTCTTGCATTCAAACTGCAGATAAAATTACCACTAGAAAAGAACATTCCATGATCATTCATCTGCTTTAGTGGCTCCAATTCTAAGGATATCGCGACATCCATCTCTCTCTTTCTGCAGCTCAATTATGAAATTTCAGAGCCTTAAGGGTATCTGCCACTTAGCTGGGTTGACATAGTTAGAGAGTGGCCTACTTATATACACTTATACAAGCTCTATATGTACCAAAAGATAATAAATTAGTTAAGTAGTAGATAAAATGGTAAATATGAAAGATATATGGGATGCTGTGATTGTATGGAAGTACTAATTGCAGGAGTTTGTCTTTTAATGTCAATTAGAATGTTAGGTAGTGTTTGTGGAGGTAAGTTCACCTCAATTTTTGCTATCATTGAAGCACTACGTCTATATATTTAGAAGAAGAGATTTTTATTTAATTACTGTAAGCCAATCAGGTTCCCCATCTACACCTACCTAACATATTGGTCATTCATCAAAGTGCGAGATTTTCGATACATATATCAAAGTCAAGGCTATAGTATTTCACATCGGGACAGTTAAAAAAATCACTTATTGATCTGTAAAAGGGAGAACTAATTAAGCTAAAGATTGGCCAGTGTCTCTGTCTCATGAATTCACTCTTGGATCATTTATTATTTTATGGAAAATGTTAAATCAACCATAAATAACTTGCCGAACAATTTTACAAATTTATGCGGCATGAAGGCAGCTTACGTGGAGATTGCAAAATCATCCAAAAGACGAGTCATACAATTGATGCTACTACTTCCACGCTCATTTAATGGTACAGGACCGGAATCACAATTATTTGATAGAGTATATAAGAATAGTAGTATTAATAATGTGCTTTTATAAGTCAATCCAACACTTGTTATATAATAATTCAGGTTAAGTAATCATCTGACTCTATCAACTATTTAATGACATGATTAATTAACATAATTGAGAATCTATGAATGAACTTTGGATGGCTAAATAGCTAAATGGAACAATTTTTTGTCCTTGGAGAAATTTTACAAGGTAGCAACTGCATTTGGTACTCAGTCAAACGACCCTTGATTAACATTTTATCTACATTGTATGAATAGAATGTTGATTTCAGAATGCTACAAAACCAGTTGTTTGTCGTGAGAAGACAACAAAAAAGAGTAAAAAAAGAATGCAGATTTCAATGCTAGCCGAAAAAGGAAAGAATAGCACAGTGATTTACAATGTTAATTACAAGTCAGATCTCTCTGTGAAAAACCACTTGTCAAGGGCAATTTTTTTGATAATGAGCCATTGAGAACTCAACTTTTATAGCTGCCTTGGGAGTAATTGAAGAAATCTGAACTGTACTCTTGACTTCCAAATGCCATCTTTTGAAACATTCTTATCTGTGCAGATTGTTCCCTTGACTCAAAAATTCCACTTTGTCCAGGTTTCACTCCATTGGACAGATCCGACAGCTCATCCATGGAATCTAGAGCTCTAACCACCTGAAATAGGAGGAAAAAATCAGGACTGCAACGAAATGAATCATAATGAACTGCCTGACCTGCAATAGCACTCTAATTACCTGACTCATCCGTGGCCTCTTAGAGCCTGAATGACGAACGCAAGCTGCAGCTGCTTCAATCATCCGGAACATCTCACCCGCAACAAAGTTGTTTCCAAGCCTAGGATCTACTACATTTTCAAAATTTTCAGTCTCAAGTGCTTGAGCAAGCAAAGGTCGAGCCTACAAGATAGAAGGTAACATTCTCAGATTCGATTTAATGAAAGCACTAGTTGGATGACTTGAGAAATACGTATGAGCAAACAAGGAAAACTCTAAACGATTCCATCACTAGTGTGAATAGCAATACTAATTGACAGACAAGGTTGAGAGGAATTTTAACAACATCCTAACCACTAGACTAAACCTTTAACTTGTGTCCAGTGGTGTCAATACTTGTATATATATATTTATTAAATCAAAATTTGATCTCTGTATATAACATAATTTTCCAACAAAGGATTGTCACTTGACACCCCTTGGGTCAGGGTGGGTCCGCCCCTAGTGTATTACCATCTCCCAGAGCCTTTACAGAAAAAAATTGGAAACCGACCTCTATTCTTCCTCAAAAGAAATAAACATTCCAGAAACCTCAGTTTCCTCCCTATAGATTAGGACACATGCATGGCCTAGGTTTCGATATCTTCTCTCTTTAATTCAGCATACAAGGGATGCTTGGCAGCAAACTCTGATTAAGTATCAACATTAATCATTACAGGAAATTAAAACAACTAAAAATTTGAACTTACCCATTCAACCAGGCTTTCATCACCTAAGGGTTGAGACTGGTCAACAGGTTTCCGTCCCGTAATAAGCTCCAAAAGCACAACGCCATATGAATAAACATCAGACTTCTCTGTTAATTTTCCACTAGATGCATACTCTGGTGCCAAGTATCTGAAATCATTTATGTCAATGTCAATTAATCAGCTGAACGTATGCCATACAAGTACAAAATTAGTCATTTTGATTAATAATTTAATATCAGTTTAACCCATTTCTGTGGGTAGGATGACAGGGGCAATTGGAAAATCTAGGTGATTGACATTTACGTTATGGTTCTGAGATGCTGCATAAAAGCAACTGTTAGACTAAGACCAAATCCTGCTCCCATACAAGAGTACAAAGTTACCAACTCGAGGCTGATACCAACTGAAGGTTGTTCATTTTATTTTTTTTATTTTGATGACAAGGGAAACCCGCAGCCGCTACCCTTGGGGTGCGCACAGGGTAAAACCCCCGCTCCTATGCAATAGCTCGCAAACCACATAGGAGAGGTAACCCGCACTAGGCAAGCCCGGTGCGACGAGCTCGACCCAGAAGGCAAACCCCTTGCTTTCGCTGGCAAGGGGTTTCGAACTTGAGACCTCCAACATGGAAGTCCCAAGCCCAAACCACTGGGCCACCCCGAAGGGTCTGAAGGTTGTTCTTGCAAGTGAGGAATCAATATATGTTAAATTAAGGTCAATTTACTCTCTCCCCTGAGGTTCAAAGTGAAATGGAAGTGACAAAAAGTAATACTGTAAAAGTTTTAGAGGTAAAAGCAGCTTTAGGATAAAAGTTTTTGGAGATTACTTATGGTGCAACTGACCATGGTGTTGATGATGTTGTCAGATAATATGATATTGTAACAGAAAAAGGCCAACTAAGATTTCTTCAAATGTAAGACTTAGCACATGTATGACCTACCCAAAGGTTCCCATCACACGAGTTGTCACGTGTGTACTACTGGCATCACCTGCTAACCTTGCAAGGCCAAAATCAGCAACCTGAAAGGAGGAAATGCATTGTCAAATTGCATAAACTATAAACCATAACACACATAATTTCCAATACACCATTACAGCATGGAAAATGAGATTGTTCTGGTTCACCAAGTCACAAACATAAATTTAGGTTGGATAAATTGCCATACCTGTGCCTCAAAATTGATATCCAAGAGAATGTTTGATGTTTTGATATCCCTATGGATAATGCGGGGATGACCTGAGAACAACATAATCAGCAAAATTTCAGAGGATAAATCAGTAAAGGAAAATTGCAAAACATAAAAAACATGCTCTATTCCCAAAGAAAGTCCATTCAACTTGGCGACATTGCAACTGAAAAGATTTGTCTATTTTAGCATTAGTTCTCATTAATAAACTATGCAGTTACCAATTACATTGACTAGTCAAGGTTTTACACTTCTATAATGAAGGGTGATCGAAATTAGGCCTTTTGATGGATAACACATGCTAAGCGAAGAACATTGGATATTGCATCTGAGCTTCTTTGGAGAAATTTAACCACTCTTTAAGCCACTCTGTCCCCATTATTCCTTTTATTAAGTCTCCAGAAGCCCTAGGTTTAACTAATGTGGACAAGAGTAAATATAAACATAATAAGAAAATTACAGTCTTCATGAAGATAAGCAAGTCCACGTGCTGCACCAGCAGCTACTTTTACTCGGGTAGCCCAATCCATAGTTTGCATGCCTTTACCTGCAGCATTTAATCAACGATAGAAGTTACGTTAGCATCATATCCGAGACTAGACAACATCCTTCTTAGTTTCATCTAAGTTCATAGAAATGTGGCACAGTATAAGGCCAATTGGTTGTAGCCAATCTTAGCAGCTATTCATGTCATAATGGTCATTACCAGCCATGATAAGAAAAATAAGTAACTCGTCTTGGAAGTGTGGAATTGGAGAATTCAACATAGAGAACAAAATCTGGAGTACAGTATTCCAAGTACTTCAATTTATCTCAAACCTGTCTTACCATGAAGGTGATAGTCAAGCGTGTCATTTGGCACATAGTCGTAGACAAGTAACCTTTGCTGCTCTGAGATACAGTAACCAACAAGTGAAACCAAATGGCGATGGTGCACACGGCTGATAATCTCAACTTCTGCTCTGAATTCCCGCTCCCCTTGTCCACTTCCACTTTTCAGCTGTTTGACAGCGACTTCTCTTCCGTCATTAAGAACACCTTTGTAAACACATCCAAACCCTCCTTCACCCAAAACACTATCAGGAGAAAAACCATTTGTTGCCTCAGATAATTCTTCGTAAGTGAACCATGATCTTGAATTTCCAATACCTCCATGGTCTGGAGAGTACATAAAATTGCTTTGTGAGCCGGTTGGAGCTAGATAAGTGGAATGTTGAGACCTTGATCTCAGGAATGATGTATCTGGAAAAATATGTAATTCATTAAGACTCCAAAAGCTGGGAAGGGGGTAGGTTGTTATAATTCTATAATAAACATTAACAATACTCGAGATAAGTTTGCAAAATTGACAAAGTGGAACTTAATTTTTCTGATCTGTACTTTACATTATAAAGCTGATCTATAAATGGAAAGGTAAAAAGAGAATATGGACAACTAAGTTACACAAAAGTTCAGAATTCTTGTTTTCTTGGGAAAAGTGATTTTGTTGTGTGCACTCCACTCTGTAGCAAAGGGGAAAAAAGAGTGAATTATCATGCAAAAGAAACAAAAATATGCCTTTGATGTTCGGTAATACAGATGAGTCATCTGTAACTTCGAAAAAAAAGAACTAATTGTACCATTAATTCCTTCTACAAAAGGATCATTATGGTTCACGTGATATAGTTCCTTGTCATCAATACAGTAATACATGCAAGCTAGAGTTTAGGAAAGGATGAATACATTTTATCACTCTGGAAAATTGGAATGTTTTAGCAATAAACAAATTCCATACAGCAAAATCCATAAGGAAATTCAAGAACCTTGAAAGCAATACCTGAATTTGGTGAGGAAGCAAATGGAGAGGGTCCCAGGTAATTGAGATTAAATGCACTCTCTCTTTTCTTTCGCCT